GATTAAGAGCATTGCCTACTCTTCCAAAGGTCCTGAGTTCAATTCCCAGCAACTACATAGTGACTCACAACCATCTGTAATGAGGTCTGGTACCCTCTTCTGGACTACATGCATACATGCAGATAGAATATTGTATATTAAATATTAAAATAATATCTTATTGTATATAATATTTTAATATTTTATTGTACATAAAATATTAAAATAAACATATATTTTTAAATATAGTATATTTTTTAAATATAAATATTAAAAAAATATAGCCAAAAGATTGAAATATTGTGAACACAGCCCTGTTCTGCTGGGACAGGCCTTAAGAAAGAAGCAATGCTGTCCTCTCCGGGAGGCCTAGGGTCCAAACTATTTATCCATGCTTACAGTCTAATCTGTTGTGCCTTAGAGACACTAGAAATAGTAGACAAAGAAAAATGCAACATCCTGCAGACCCAAAGCTTGAGTCCAGCCTAGCTGAGCAGCTGTGCTTTCTCTGTAAACACGTATCTTTATTTGATTCTTGAAGGCACACAGCCAAATTCAGATAGCACTTGACTTCTAGATGGATCTGGTATTAATCAGGCCCATAGGATCATTGCTCCTTGTCCTCCTCTTTTATTTTCTCATTTGCTCCTACTGTGACTGCCATTACTATTGAAAGAGGGTCTCACTCTGTAGTGTGGGCTGTCCTCCAACTACAATCCTCATGCCTTGGCCTCCCAAAAGCTTGCTTATTGGTGAGCACCACCATGCCTACCCAGGAGCTTGGTTCCCAAAAGGAACCATGGACTGGGGAGAAGTAGTCCTTCTCAGTGTACTGTTTCTCTGCTTTTGTCATTGTAGGTTTGGGCAGGTCTAAGTTAACAAGGTTTGCCATCCAGTTTTTGAGCAGCTGCAAATATAAAACATGAAGAGTCTGGTTTCGAGAAATGCCTTGTGGTCTATGAGTCTATCCCCATAGAGTCCTAGTATATATGATGGTGTGTTTCCCTTTTTCTACCTTTTCCACTTGTGTGGTGCTGGAGATGGAACAAGGCCTAGCATGTGCCATCGTGTGCCCTTCTACTTGGCCTGCCCGATGTTTTTGAAGCACTCTGTATCTGAGTCATTTGTACCATGACAAAGCTGCCTTTTCTCATTTTTATCTTTTCATAGACTTTTTATGTCCCATTCTTCCTTGATGGACTTATCCGGTAGCAAATGGCAAATGTTGGCAATGTGGCTTAAAGAGTCTATTTATACCAAATGCCCTTGATCTCACCAGAATCATGGTTTAAACATCCATCCTGACTTCTTTTCTAGAGATTTTTATATTTATTCTAGATTGAATTCTGACTTATTTGTTCCATTTCCTTTTTTTCTTTCCCTTTGTTCTTAATCTTTATTGAAAAATAGACCAAGTAGTTCTTCTCATTTTCAAATATTTAATTCTTTGGTTGACATACGTGTTCTTTTTGGGAGCTGTTTTGACATATTTCCTTAATTAGTCAGAAAGGCTGCTGTAGACTAGGGAAGGAAACATTTGTCCCATTCAGCAACTGAAGTCTATCTCATTGGCCCTGAAAGCAAGGATATAGGATTTAAAATGCACCCCAGATACTTCATGTGGGAAATTTGTTCAGTTATTATGGGCTTAAAAGATGTTCCCAGAGAAGGGAAATGAAATAAATAGCCAAACAACAGTTCCCTCTCAAAGGTAGGATAAAACAAAGCAAGAAAAGGTTAAAATGAGGAATAATGAAATTTGAAATTCAAGCGCATGTATTGTCAAGGTGAAGACAGAAGAGCGTTCTTCAGGATTCAGAGCATGAGGCGTATAAGAGGAGACTTAAAGGAACAAGAAAGATGTGAGTTGGAAGGAATTGGAGAGTGGAAGTCAAGGACTCTCAGCTCTGTCCCAGGACTTCTGGGGACTGTGTGGGTGGGGTGGGGAGCATAGCCAGCCTTGGGGACGGAGTGAGCAAGGCGTGTCTGGATATCAATGCAAAGCAGTGATCAGCATGGAAGAAATGGGTGAAAGATAAATGGGGTCAAGTTATGGATGAGCTAATGGGTAGGAAGGAGTTGAGGCTACTCAGTGAGAAAGGAAGTACTCTGGATTGCATGTCCTGGAGATGAGAAGACAAATGGG